ACTGGGTACTGAAGGATGGCCTGCCTGGTCTCTCAGTGTTATTGACACATCCAGCTTTTTGCTGGGTGACTTCATGCCCACAATCCATCAGTAGATGGTGGAAATTTCACTGAATTTCTTAAAAGACAAAGACTACCTTAATACATTTTTGTGGAATAAATAGTGCTGTGCCCCAGGTTTCTGGTCTCTCACCCTCTTCTGTCTCTTCAGGTTTTCATCGTGGAATCCCTGGGGAGGAGAATCCTTCTCCTTGCTGGCTTTGGATTGTGCTGTGTCTCCTGTGCAGTGTTAACTTTGGCCCTCAATCTCCAGGTGTGTAGTTGAATGGCTCAGGTGATCCTACCCGTGCATTTCTGGACCTTCAAGGGAACAGGCTGTCGGTATATTTTGAAGTTGTTTCTACACCCTGGGCGGGAGGGGACAGTATGAAATGTTTCTGTACTTGTAGATCTACCCAAAGTAAACCCAGGAAAAGCTATGATCCTGCTTGTCTGAATATTACTTCCAGTACGTCATGTTCATAATACCTGTCACATCCATTTGTCGAAGCAAGGACCATAGCCAGGCTATGATTTTTGTGGCTAAGTATGGGCATATCTGGCAATGGAGGGTGACACTGGCTTTAGAATGCCTCCAGATCTTACTACATAGTGCCTTGAATGTGTTGGTGATGTTCAGATAGGAACCACATCTAACCTGGGATTAAATTCTTCACAGACCACTGTCTCATGGATGTCTTACCTCAGCATAGTGTGTGTCATTGTTTACATCATCGGACATGCTATTGGAGCCAGTAAGTATGCACAGTTTAGTCCAGTCTCCTCCACGAGCTGGGTAAAGCCAAGTGTTATGCTGAATTTCAAATCAAAAGCTTTGTGGAGCTAATCCAAGGAGATCAAATTTCTTCTCTGTGTGGCCATGCACCTTGTTGATTGTCAGCTAGGCAGTGATTTGCTGGCTGCGTCCGTGAGGCAGGGGAGCATCTGGCTTTCAAGAGGAAAAACAAAGGCACAATTGTGCTTGTGCCTGAGATTCCCCCAGTAAGACTGGGAGCAAAACTGCGCTGAGACAGTGAGCCCTACCAACTGGGCAGGGATGTTGCACGCTTGCATCTCTAGGCAACAAATGAAATTAAAAGCAACTCAAATTATATGTGTGGCCCTGCACATCACTTTGCAGAAAGGAGATGTACAGATAGATGTGTATATGGGAAAGGCTTTTGTCCTGACTCAGCTTCTTAGTGTGGTAGTTGTCTGCTTTGCTTAGAAAGCCCTGTCAGACCCTTGCTGGATGCAGCAATGCGGTTTTGAAACTCCTGTAGAGGTTTCACTGGCAGACGGAATTACATACAACCTTTCCTTTTCCATTTATGCCATCAGGCGGATTCAAGCGCTGGGGGCAGGGAGATTGCTGGAGGGGGACCACCAGGCCAGCTGGACCTGTGGCCTGACCCCGTCAATGAGAACATGGTCTATTCCTGCTTAACGGTGCCACAGGGCAGCAGTGCAGGGCGCGGGCCTGAGGGCTTGTTCCATGAGTCATTTTTCCAACACCTGCATGTGTTGGGGTGTTTCTCTGTTTTTCTTTTTTTAAGAAGCAATCACCTGCTTAGTTGCTGCTCATAAGGTGCTCTCTGGAGAGACAGTTTGTGTTTATCAACCTTATTTTACAATTTGTGCAGGAGATGGGTTCATGGCTAAGGTGCAGCCATAGGAGAGAAGAGGTTGATTGCTGTGTGTGAGCTTAGGAAAGTCATTTAGTTGCCCTGTTTTTTTTTTTTAATTTAATCCCTTATTTGATTTATTGGGTGTTTCTAAACACTAGTAGTTTAGAAACCATTGCCTGCCACTGAAGTGAACAGTGTAATCTAGGAATTCAGAGTGGGGTAATTGCCTTGGGGATTTCCAAATATGCAACTACCTTCCAGGTCCAATTCCCTTTGTGATGATCACCGAGATGTTCCTGCAGTCATCCCGGCCTGCAGCGTTCATGGTGGGTGGGTCTGTGCACTGGCTATGCAACTTCACCGTGGGGCTTGTGTTCCTCTACATGGAGGTAAGATGTGATCACAGGACAGGGCAAGACTTCAGCTTAAAATTAGTATCTTCACCCCTGTGTTCTTAGAGAGAGCCTTTTTAATCCTGAGAGCCATAAATGCCCAAGTTGGTTCCCAGTACCTGTACGCAGGATTATGTATTAAGGGCAAGAAACTGATGTTAATCAGCATTTTTTATCACATCTGTCTGTTGCACATGCTTTAAAAGAAAGCAGTTATTTTTCCAGGCGAATGTCTGATCCTGAATTCGGGAGCATGGAAAAGATTGCAAATTCCCCATCTTCCATTTTAGCCAATTTTAGCTTTTGATCTCTAGGTCACCAGTTCAAACTGATCCCCAGCAGTAGTGACCCATAAATTGCTACCGTTGATGATTTTAGCCTGTGCAAAGGGAGATGGCGAGTTTAGTTTGATTTATGTAACAGACCCTCACCCTCCTTTTCCAGTAAATCCATGGTGGTGGTATGAGAAGAGAGAATCTAGAACCACCCCTAACTTCTTCTAGTCGTTCAACTTAAAATATGTGCACATCATTGGCTGCTTTTTTTATAGCTATTGCAGGATTCAGCATGTCCAGATCATGTAATGTATACAGCTGGAGTATTCCTTTGATCCCTGCTCTGTCTTCTTTCATTGCCCTAGGCTGGACTGGGGCCCTACAGCTTCCTCATCTTCTGTGCCATCTGCCTTGCCACTATAGTTTACATCTTCTTTATTGTTCCTGAGACGAAGAACAAAACCTTCATGGAAATCAACAAGATCATGGCCAAGAGGAACAAGGTGGAGGTTCAGGAAGACAAAGAAGAGTTTGAGGATTTCCACACTGTCCCAGGCGGGCAGGTAGAGAAGAAAGAAATCTCCAGCAGTGAACTGTGACCCAGCCCAGTGTTTGGCCTGGCCCAGATATTTTTCAGGATCTGTTCAGTGGGAGAACAAATACATTGATTCATTGTTTGATACCGATCTTCATTCAGACCTTCTGCAAACTTCCCACAGCAGGAGTTTCCAAATAAGCCACTGTGTCTTGAGAGTGTTCTCATTGTGAGTAATTAGCAGGACCATTCTGCTTCATGGCATAGCCACTGCCAAGGCAAATTACTCATTCATGGTATTTGTCACAGGGAAAGGGCAATATCCTCAGCCAGCTCAGTTCCTGTGATCACAAAACCTATGTCATAAGGTGATGTATGTCCCTGATGTCCTGACTGACACATCTCAGGTGACACAAGCCAGCACTTGGGCTGGGTTTTGGTCAGTCGTGTGCAAGGAGTGCACTATATTCCTCTGAGGAACTGTCATTCATGTATTTGAGGGTCCAACATGAGTGATGCCAGGCCTTTGGTGCACTGGGGTGGCAAGAGCATCAGTTGTTCTGAGGTACTGTGTTAGATGGGCTGACAATGGCATCTACCCTGTCAGCTCTTGTCCTTCCCTTGTGTGCCTCAAAGGACCACTAAACTGGAAGTGCGTATCACTATAATCTCACCCAACTCTCTCCGTCAAATCAAACCTAGTCCTCAACTGTTGCTGATGAGTCCTTCTAAAGCCTTATTCTTGAGGTTAGGAGTCATCCACCTGGCTGTTGTTTATTCACAGCCAACTTATACCTATTTGTTCTAGTGGCACTCTAGTCTTTGAGCTATTTAGCTCATTTCACTCCCTAGTGTTTACACTTCAGTTGCCAAAGAGCAACAAGTCCCTCTCTTAATCCTTTAATAACCCCCATATCCCTACTCTGTACGCATGAGCCAGTAGGAGCTCATTCGTCCCCAAAGATACATGGTATTGAACTCTAAGAACCTCCCTGCTGCGTTGCAGGAGTCAAATTCAGGTTGATTCCTGTGCAATGAGCTACAAGTTGGAGCCTGTGTTTGCAAACACATCCAAACTTGTCGTTAGATTCTGACATTGAGTTGCTTAAATTTAATTTTTGAAATAACTCAGCTCTCAGTACTCGAAACCACTTGAAAAAGTCTTCAAGTGGTTTAGAGCTTGGTCCTTCTACTGGTTTCTGGTTGTGTCCCCTAAGGGCACCATTCCACCTGAAGGCTAAATTGGTTTGGAAAAGCTCTGAGTCTGAAGGACTAGTGCTGACTCTCAGAAGAAAGTAAAGTGCACACTGATAAAAATGGAGGATTTCTTAAAGTTTTTATTAGTTTAGGGGGGTTGGGTGTTAATTATGGCAAATTTAACATGGGGAAATTCAATGCAATTAATTGTTATGTGGGGCTGCTGCCCTCTGTTTTGAAAAAAGCAGAATTGTTGAACAGCCTGGCACGGATTTTGTTGTTGATGGAGATAGCCCTTCACATGATTTACTTTAACCTTAGAAGATGAGTTTTATACCTGCCCTCAAACTTGTGATGTATACATGCTGAAAAAGAAACTGCTCCCGTGCTCAGTCTCTACATCCATTTACAGAAAAGAAGGCATGCCATGGATCAAAGCACAATGATTGCGTAGGACCACACTCTGTCCTGCAAGGGCTTTATGTACCCTTTCCTATGCGGTAGGTCTGCAGGGGAAGGGGTGGTGATTTGATGGTGAGAAATGGGAAGGAAGGACACATGCGGGGAAGATGGTAAGAAACCGAGACTGGGTGAAGGACGTGAGAGAGATTTTACTTGAGAGAGCAGCTCCTTTGACCAGAGAGTGGCACTTTGGCATGTAGGAAGATCTATGTATGGGGACCTAAGTCAAACTCCTGGGTGGGATGTGACAATACAAGGTGTTGGACTGTGCCAAGTTCTGCTCTATTCTTTGTCTCTATCCTACTGATGGAGGCTTTGCTCCCATGTACCTACTGGGAAAAATGACGTGAAGCACTAGCAGGTGCGTAGTGAGCCTATACAAAGCAGAAGGAGAAACAAGCAAAAATCTAAGTTTTCCTCAGTTTCTCCAGAAAGCAGTTCGGATTCTTCTGCTGCCTTAAAAAAAGTTGGGGTCACTGACAGCTGGTGTCAGACTCCAGAACCACCCCCCCCAGGAGGGTCATGGAGGTTTCTCCCCATGCTATGATATCTCCCTTCAGTTGCCCTGATTTGCACAGTGCAAGTGCCCGAATATCTGCAGGACTGAGAACTTGGCTCCACAGGTTCACATGAGTCATCCACCCTGCAAAACCATTGGAGAACGTCCCAAGAAGAGTGTCTCTATCTTTCCCAAGGACAAGCATCCCTCCAGCCTGGCTCACATACCCCTTCTGGATACTCTTTGCTTTACCAGCTGCTCCATTGAGCCATAAATTTGCCATTCCAGACTGGGAGGCCCATGCCATGCAGTAGTGCAGCCAATCTTGTGCCTTGTGGTACAGGGGGAAGCTGATGAAATGGCCTCCTATCCACAATCCCACATCTGTGCCCACAGTCATCACTAGCTCATTATCCCTCTCCTGCGTGGAGTAGGAAAGAACAGTCTGACTGCCAGCATGCTGGGCTTTTGTCCAGAAACATAAGGTGAAGGCTTGGAGAGACATATCATGGAGGGGACGAACATTCACAAAACTCTCAATGTTTTCCACAGGGAAGTAGAAAGCTGGAAAAGTGCTGGATTTAATACCTGAAATAACCAAAAAGCCAGCTGTTACATTTCCTGCTACGCTTATAAATCAGCCCAACTCCTGAAGAATACACCCATAGGAACTGGCAGGGCTGTGACAGTCTTAGCTGTCTTGAGCCAAAGTTACTGATGTGTGTTGTACCAACAGGGAAGGGGGCTTGAAATGATGAAAAGCTTAGCTCCCTCACCCAACTGTTTGGGAAAATCACTTTTTTCCTCTTCTTCCTCTTTTCTCATCTTGTGTAAAATAGAGACGACGATTATTTATCCTAGGGGAACTGTGAGCTTAAATCCTTCACTGTTTGTAAAAATGTGCTTACATGTTGCAGGAGAAAGCTGTAGTTGCTGTGAGAGTAGCTAGATTAGGGCTAGCTTTAATGATGCTGTAGTTGAAGAATTTCCATCAGCAGGCCTAGATATGGGACAAAATTCTACCTGCGTATATCAGTACCAAACCTGTTAATGATTTAGGCCATCAAGGATAGCAGGGCATGGGCTTTTCATCCTTGGAAGGTAAGCTGGACTCAAGAATAGATGTGTCTCTCACCTATGTGGCTCACTCCATTCAGCAACTCTCTCTTCACGTCTTGAAGCTGCATCTGGATTTGTTCCAGTCTGAGGTTGAATTCTTCTGGATGGCATTGTTCTAGAGCAATCAGACAGCTGAATTTACAGAAGACCAGGACCCGTACATAGTAGATTTTCTGCTTTCTAGTTTGTAGAAGGTTTGGGGAAAACCTTTGTTTTAAAATGCAGGGTTCTCACCTCCATATGGTGCCTGGCTAATCAGCCATGCCAGAGCTGTTTCTACAATGGTTATCCTCACCCATATGGATGCAGACACACTTGAACCTAGTATTCTTGTGTGCCATGTAGCACCACTTATCTTGGGAGATCTGTGTGACGCCATTGCGGTCAAAACAAAGGGCTGGTGCACAACCTACAGCTACCACTGCACCATTAGAAGCAAGATGTGTTGGCAAGGGGCAAAGAGGCACATGGGCCATCTCCACCTGCTGTGCAAGGACACTGCTGCTCCTGGGAAAGGTTATCTCCAGCATGCCTAGCTTAAGTGATTTGCAGCTTAACTCCTTCCACATAGGTTTCTTGTCCCTCCCTGGGGAAAGCTTGAGTCCTGCCCGCTGACTCCCTTTACCTTGGGTGAGTTTGGCTCTGAAGGAGGACTCCACCACCCGCCCGTTGAGGGGCTGAGCATGCCGGTAGTCATTACGCAGCGTCCTGTTTTGCCAGTCCAGCAAGGTGTTCTCCAGGAGGCTGATCTGTGAGCAACGCAGGCTTATTATGGCGGGCAATAGGAATAACAGCTTTGCCGAGAAGTGCAGTGCAGATCCTGCAACTCAGGATTAAACCTAGCGATTTGTTGTAGAGGAACCCACAGGGTCTCTTGCTGAGTATTAGCAAGGGAAAGGAACAGAACATGAGGGCTCTTATCAGCTAATTCATGATAAAGATATTTTGCCTGAAGGAAGTTTTTAACATCTGCCTGATGGTATGCATGGATGGAGATTTTGCTGCTACTCTGTAGCATGCTGTTTTCTCACAAATGCCTACTAGCCTTCCCCCTGCCAAAAAGAGTATTTCTTTTTCAAATGGGAACACACCGTGATCCTCCATTACTGTAGTCTCCACTTTATCTTGTTCTTCTCCTAGAAGAAAATGTTTCTGTTGTTTCTTTCTCATTAAGGAAGGTGAACCACTCTGCAAGACTCAACAGTAAGCTTATTTTACTTGTGTTACTTTTTTCCCTGCTAAAGCCTTTGTCCTGACAAAGCAGACAGAGCGAAGAGAAGGGGATCCTGCCATGTGACAGTATTCAACTGCTGGCACAAGTGGGGTTACTGCCCAGTGCTCCTGTGCACTCAACAGGGTCCTTTGTTAATGCCTCTGCTGGAGCCTGGACGAACCCTCTCCTGTCAATGCAGCCAAAACTCACAGCAGGCCACTCCTGAAATGATCCCATCTAGCTGCACAATGTAAGCGTAGACAAGAAAAAACCCCAAAATGCTTGGTTTTTTAAACTCAAAATAGTTCTAGAAAAGTGTGCCAGTTATTCTGTAACTGCCTTAATGTTATGAATGGCTCTTACGTTTTTTAGGGGGTTTTTTGGACTCTTGCAGTAGTTTTTGCCTTGTTGATTCTGACTGGTCTCTTCCTTTTCATAGTGCTTCAGTATGGTTGAGCTTAACTGAGCAGAGAGCTTTGTTATGGCTCACCAGACCTCAGGTAAACTGCTGCTGTACAGAAACTGACCCTTGCTGTGATGTAGCATCATGGTGTCGTTACAGCCACCTGTAATTCCAGCTGCTTAGGAGTCTATCCCAAAAAGCCCTGTGTGAGAAATGCCCTATCAGCGCCTCTGTCAGCCTGTTCCCAAAATCACTGGAGGACAGAAAAGGGAACTTGTGTGGAAAGGTGAAGCGTGGAGGAAAGAGAAGCTGCTCTGTCTGGTAAACAGCTATCACTTACCTGTGTGTGTGACAGGACAATCGGAGAATGGAAGATGGTCCAGATCACGCTCTCGGAGCAAGGTGGGGTTGTTAGTGAGCCCTGGTACCTGTAGAAGTGTGAGAGGTTTTCTGGCAGCATGGCTTGGACATCCAGAGAAATGAGCTTTGTTGATTGACCTCAAAAGGAAACAGAGAGGCAATAGGAACAATTAATGGAGAACAAAGAGAAAGGAGAGAGTGGTGTTAGAGCTGGGGTTGGCAAATCACTTTGCCCAGAGCACTGGTATATTAGACCTTTGGCAGAACTGGATGAAGACGGAGGGAAGTGAATGGGTCCTTTCAGTGGATCTACGGGTTGTCATTCAGAGATACCTGGGGTCCTAGAGGTGGTGGGCAACTGCACCTCAGTGCTCTGCCAGTAGCTGCTAGTCCTCCCAGGAAGCAGAGTATATTAGTGCAGCGGAGCACCTGCTATCTGGGCGTACAGGCTGCAGGATCGTAGGATGTTGTTATTTGATGGTGCTGCAGCGTGTTGCGTAGACCTACCAGGAGTATGTTTATTGCTGCCTTGAGCATCTTCCGTGCCACCCTGCTGTGTGGGCTGCTGTTTGAGCTGTGTGGGCAGGGATGGCGTGAAGTTGTGCATGGCTGAGGATGCTTGGCCACGTAACTGCAAGCAAAGCAGCAGCAAAATGTCTGTCCCCAGACCCAGTACGTACATACAGGTTTTGAGAATATCAAGGATGGAGAAAGGCATTCCCAGGTCTTACCTGCAAACCTGATTTTTGCCAGTTTGGAAATGAATTCACTGTAGTAGGTATTCTCGAAGTGCCCGTCCTAAACACAGCATAGAGCCACAAGGTTAGTGACCTGCCTGTCCTTCTATACTATTAATCAGCTTGGAGGACTAATTGATAAATTGGGAGACAAAGAGAACAAATAGTATTGCAAATCTCTTGGTAGGCTGGACAATCCTAGGCATGATAAGGTATGTACACATAGGTCTCGGGTAGAATAGTGAACTATAAGGATCCTTTTTCACCACTTCTAAATCTACACAAAATCAAGTGCTCTCACTTGCAGATCAGAGCAAGGCCTTGAGGTACAGCAGGGAAAACCCAGCTGCCACACCTGATAATCCATCTGTACTTCTTATGGGGGACATTTTTCTGGGGCTCCCAAGTTGTATTGGCTGGTATGGTGTGAACCCCAGATGGCATAAGGGAAGAACAGTCCTGCTACAGCACAGCTTCCTCAAACTGGTAGCAGACATCATCTCTTAGGATAGATGTGCAAACCTAGTACAGGCTGCTTGTGTCTGGACTGTGATTATAGCATAAACAGTGATCACAGACTGGCCTTGCTCAGCAGCCTGGGTGTCAAACCTACCACATACAGGAAGGCAAGCACAGCCAATCCATTTGGTTTGTCTTTGGCTTCTTCAAAGCTTGAGTAGTCAGCTGAGTTGTAATGGACAATGTGCAGCTGTCAGAAGAGAGACAGGGTCATTTAGCAAGAAGTCATGAATGTCTTCCTTGGTGCTTTAAAGTACCCAATACAGTCTGAAGGGAGAGTCACCATCCCAATTCCTGCTACTTGTGCCTCACAGCGCAGCCAAATAAACCTTTAGTTTAATAGGTTTGTGACAAATGTGGAAGAACAACTCCATCTTTGAAGGATATTAGTGCTATTGCAACGGCTTTTCTTAGTCGTCTGTGCCAGCACCGTCAGGCTCAGCCCTTGCATTGCACCAACCACCTGCAGTTATGGGAGCCCTGTTTCTCCCACTTGCCTCTGCATTCCTCCCTGCAGGTTTTGTGGGCTGCAGCTTCCCATTTCCCAATTGCCAGACTTGCAGCATACCCTCTCTCCAGCCCACTCCGTTCACAAGTACCTCTGCAAAGTATCTCATCCCGTCTATGGTGTGTTCGGAGCCGCTGGTCTCCAGGTCCAGGCCACCCCAGTGCAGATGCATCTGTACAGCTGTGTAGAGGCCTGGGAGCCCTCTGGAAATGTGCATGGTGGGTGGCAGATCAATCTGAACTGAAAAAACAGGATTGGAGACAGCAATGGGTGCAGCCATGCCCGTTCTTGTAGTTATGCTTACAGTGCCTAGTGCTTTCTGCCAGTAACACCCTCTCTGAAATAAGCTGGCACAGGGAATTAACTCCAGTATGCAAGGAAAACCACTGAAGCTTAAAGCTACGTGTGCTTAAAATTTTTCCTGACCTCAGGCTCGTGCACCTCAAAGACCACACCAGGCACAAAGATGACTGGGCACTAGCTGTGCCTGCAGACTTTTTTTTCCATCTGAGCAGCTCTAGGTTTTTCCTTAGGCACGAATAAAGGTGCTTTAATGCTCATTTCTTGTGCAGTACATCACATCTTTCAGGGCTCTGCATGGATTTGTTAGCTACTTTATTTCCAAGGAAGAAAAAGGGGATAGAAATCAACAAAGTGACTGGCCTCATCTAACCTGCCATCATGATTTCCAGTATTCTGGACTGTGCACGTTCTAGGAACAGGCATACTGGGCCAGAGCCCTGTAAGTTTGAAAAGGCTGTGTTAATGCTTGAAGGATTTGTAGAGACAAATCTCTCTGCTTCTCTTCGCCAAGGAGTATTCACAAAGACACTATGAAACATTTGTCTTCCTGCTAATGTACTGCCACAAATCATATTTATGTTAATAAAGATGCCAAACCTAGGAGTGAAAATGGAGAATTGTCTCATCCTAATGGAAGCCCAGAGCATGTTATAAAAAATAGCGACTATCTTTGCAAAATGTAGCACAGTATATATGATTTATTAGTCATAGTTTGGGTTTGTGAGAAGTTTGTTTTGTTTGTAAACTGGTTACAGACAGGCAAGGTGAAAACATGTTTCCTTGTAATATCCCAGAGTCTAGAGTGGGGGGAAAAAAATCCATCTACCCTACTTTTTATGTAAGATCCCTGCTGACTGCCTTCCATAATTAAGGTTATGTACCTCAGGTACCTCACTACGGTTTCTACTTTCTGCAAAACACAGCCAGAGAACTGTGTTCTGAGTTTATGGGAAGCTTAAGTCTTCTGTAAGATATTTTATGCAAATACTTCCCTGAAAGCATGAAGGTAGGTGACAGCCCAGTTTGCTTCTATTTTTCACCCATGTAAAGTGTGTGTGGAAAGCATGACTGCTCTGAGCTGGAAGTGCCTTACTCCTACTTAGCTCTAGTTTTGCCAGGCAGTGGGAAATCAGCTGGGATTACGCAGTGTGAATCTGGGTGCAACTGTGCCTTTCTCCAGCATTTCTGCTCTGCAATTGGGACTCTTGTCCGTTACTGCCTGACAGATTACAGCACAGGCAGCCAGCCTATTTTCCCATCTCTGGCCTCTGAGGCGGTTGAGTTAATGAAGGCCACACTTGAGGTCCCAGTTCTAAGAAAAATCTGCTACTGGAGGAAGCTGCACGCACCCTCCATGGATGACATTTTAATCTTCCAGAGCTATGTGTGTCCTTGCTACCGACTAGAGGACCAATCCTGGTTTAAAAAAAAAAAAAAAAAAAAGTCTAAATGCCAAATACAAAAGTCTTCATTAACCTAAGGTTATCTGTGAGAGTGTGTCTGCACAGATGTGGTAGATTGTCTGCACAAGGAATTTGCGCCTCTCTGTGCTACTGCAAATAGGCTTTATCAGGTGGGATTTAGCCTGGTAATTACACAACTAGAGAGAAAGTGTAGCTGGTGTCTTAGGTGAGACACTTGGTCTCCAGCTCCTGAGAGCCTGTAAGGAGAGTCCTGCTGATAAATCCGTCTCCTGTCCCTTTCAGATCTGCTGAATGTTTTCTGATGTGGCCCAGTGGAATGTTTTCCTTGAAAGATATTGCTACCCTGTCCCATCGCACTGAAGCCAGTAGGAAAACCTAGCCTGACTTCAGAGGAGCTATGAATAAGGACAGTCATTTTGCCTTTGTGCTTTTCTAAAATGCCCTACATCAGAAAATCATTGTTTTGATGTTAACAAAAGAATAGGAGAATACACCTGTGCAGTCAGAGATCTGAAAGCTAAACCTGCAGGAATTAATTTGTAGGCAGTCAGGGTAGAAATGCTGACATGAGAGCTTCTAACTGAATGTTGAGCTTGTGTGGGTGACAAACAGGAGTACTTATTCATTACGACTTTTAGAAATACAATCACAACAGCCTTTCTCTGAAGGCAGTATGTCTCTCATCACTTCATTTCCCTGCTCTCGCTCCATACTTCTCTTTCTCTTACAGAGAGGAAGAAAGGACTGTCGTGCAGGATTACAGAGCTACCAGCTTTATGTTCCAAACACCGTCCCAAAAACACTCATTCACTCCCCGCTGCAGCTATTAGAAAATTCTCTCATTGCTCATCTGTAGTCCAACAGCATTATCCCAACAGTACCAGCTGATGACTTATTTAGACAATGAATTACAGACTGCAGCAGGGGAATCCAGGACCTCCTAAACTATAAACCCTGCCCCGAGACTGTGTGGCCAAAGGCAAGGTTTTAACCCATGCTGTGCTTCAGCTTCCCTTCCTGAGACCTGAAATACCAATCCTCTGACTGTAAGGGAGGGATTCTCCTGTGTGTTGTACTTTATGTGATCTACATCTAACCGAACCTTGGATGCAAACTTGCTACTGAACTATGGTTCTCTATTTCTATCACTTCTAGCTCTTAGTATTATACAGGGGAAAAAGATGCATTTTATGAATGCAGAGAGGAGTCAGTATGTACCAAATACCATTCATTACTATAGTCCTGCAGTATTCTAGTACACTGAAAGGAAGGGTCAATCTCTACTGCTCTAGCTGCCTTTTATCCCTTATGGTCTTGCAGAACCATAACTGCCTTTTATTTCTCTGGTTTATATATGTGTTTCTGGAGAGCTTTCCTGTGTGATTGGGGAAAACAGCAAAACTAGGAGAGCAGAATGAAGTGAGATAGCAAAGCAAAATAAGGCGAGTTAAAAAAAAAAAAGGGCATTGTCTGTGAATAGCATTTCAATCAGCTAAAACGAATAATCTGTTCTTGCACTGTCATGAGCTTGACATCCTCCCAGGACATCTGCTCAGCCATGGAAGAAAAAACTTTCCACCCCTACGGCAAAGCTGACTCATTCCACTGCATTTCAACCTCGTGTCTCTTGCTGGCCACAAAAGGTGTGTGACAATGTTCTAGCTATGGCAGAATGCTGCAGTGATCATACAGGAGCTGTTCCCGTATCCTGCGTGTGCTGGGAAAATACATATCTGAACTCATAAAGTCTCCTTTATACCCCAAACATAATGTAATAAGTGAATGCTACACTGCCCACGTGAAACCTCCGGAGGATACACCACAGCCTACTTTATAGCTTAAAAGCAGAAAGCTGTCAGGTTTAGGTAGCTCTTCCATCAGCTGTCCCAGCAGGAAGGTATGTTTTTTCTCTCACTGAATGCACTGCAGGACTAACTCGGTGTGATGCACAGAAACCTGAACTCATCAGTGCAGGATGCTAACAAAGAGGTGTGGATAAAAGGGTTGGGTTTTAAGGACAGACCTACCATTAAAGACATCTGCATTTCAAAAATGTAAGGTCTTTGCTTTGCTGCTGCTGGCCTGTTCCCTGCACTGTTGGCTGCCAGCATCACCCGCTGTCTTGGAAACAGTGCATGGGAGGCCCCTGGATGCTGCATGTGCAGTGATCCATGCACATACCAAGCCATGGCTCAGGGGCAAAATGAGGCTGAAGGGGACAGGCAGCACTTGCTTCCTTGTGCCTTAGAGCCTCGCTTTCTGACAGCTAGAGCTGCTGCAGGACCAAATAAACTCCTTCAGCTGTATGTCCTGATTTCTGATTCAGGCTGCTCCCTTGTCAGCAGTTACTTCTTGACCGGCTCCTCTTTTTAGGTAGGTAACGAGAAGGATCCCCCCAGTCTTACCGGAGTGACCGTTGTTGGTCATTGTGAAATCCCCTTGCAAAGGCCCATCATAACCACTCAGCTCCAGCTGCAGTAACTGGGGGTTGTACCTCACTTTTTTCCTCTGGATGTCAATTGGAGATTGGTGCTTGCCGGCACAGTCTGCAAAGTGCTTTCCCCAGTGCTCTTCATCCAGCTCTCCTTCTGTGTGGAGGAGAAGCAAACCAGGTCATTAGGACACGGTGAGAACTGCTGTTAGCTCAGGAGTCAGAAAACTCTTCTCATTTGCCAGCAGGGCATGTCAATCTGGTTATTGTAACACCAGGAGCTGCAGCAATAAAAGGTTGCTCTGCCTTCCCTAGAGTGAAAATAAACATTATTCTGTCTGCAGGACAACTGTGCTGCAAAATAAGAAACCTGCATTGCAGTAATAGCTTACTGATCGCTGGAGACTGAACCTTCACGGAAAGAGAAGCAGTGTTTATATAGAAATGGGGATTTAAATGGGTCTCAACCACCACAGGTGTGGAATCAGGTTCTCAATGAACGTGAGAGTGAATAGGACCAGGGCAATGGGTGGAAAGTCTCTGCTTAGGATTGGGAACTGGCATCAAATTTGCTATTTTTAACTAAGGAGAGAGCTAACAAAAGAAGAATTGGAGTGAAATGGTTTAAATAAATGGAACCTTTTGTATGTGTTCTGGGATAGGAGTGGTCTGGGGTGGCTTTGATGTCCTGGGTGCATTCTTATTAACAAAACCCACCCCTTCTCCTGAGCGCAGTGCTATGTCTCTTTCTGGCACCCCCTTTTTACACGCAACAAATAATGACAAAGTGATTCATTGCTTTTGTGAGACAGATCCTGGTGTGGAATAGTACCTGAGCCTCCCAATTTCGGGATTTGGTTGATTGCTCTGAGCTCTTGATGCCCCTTCAGCCCCCAGGCCTAATAGCCCCTAAAGGTCATGCTAAGTGTCAATACCGGCTCCTTTTCCTGCTTGGTGTCACTAGCTCAGACACAAACATTTGACATGGGACTAAGAACTAAAGGCCCTAGCTTCACCTGCACGTGCTCATGGTGTCCGCAAGTATTTAATACTAAACCCCCCTCTGTGGTCACCTATGGAGGGAGCAAATGTGTAGGAGACCTGGCATGCTGGATGCTATCCTTTTTCCAATGGCTCTAAGCCTCTTAGCCTTAATTTGAATCTTTCCTGCAGAGGTCTGGGTGCTGCTGAAACCATTAACAGATGCCTGAACCCTTCAAGGCTATTTGCTCTCTCCATGCTGCTATATTTAGCACTTCAAGCGTAAGTAGAAATTTTAATGCCATCTCTGTCACGGCCGTGACTGACAATCAGTATGGAAACCTTTTCTTCTTCACCCCAGAACTGCAATATAGTGATCAATGTCAGAGTCACATCTGTCTGAGAGAAACAGAGCTAGAGCTAAGGAATAATCATCATGTGACTGCTGAACTCACTGACTTCAAATCCTGCAGAGATGGTTTGGAAGGAGAGGTGACTTTTTAAAAGAAAATAGTTCAAAGCTACTTCATCATCTTCCTAATTTTCAAATTATTATATTTATGGCCACACCTGGGGATTTGTTACTATTTGCCAATTCTTTTCTTTTTATTTCATTTAAGCAATGTCAGTTTGCAGGTGTTTGTTTCCTGACATTGATTAAATATGGGGGGCTTAGGAGATGCAGACAGCCTGGCCAAAAGAAAATCCAGAGAGAACTTCTGCAAATAGCTTAGTGTCCTAATTGCAATAGTGTATCTACTCAACAATATCCTTTGTTTTAGCTTGATTCCCAGTCCACTGAAGATCATAAAAGGACTACCGTTTACTTTAATGAGCTCTGCAAACAACCCCCTGAAACAAATGAAAATCCGATAAAATTTCACAAAATATATAAATACATAAATAAGCACTTCTTAGTGATCTGTACCGCATGGGATATGGCAATAAAATAATGAGCAGGCAGTATTTAAAGCTTTTCCTTCCAGGATCATCCAAAGGGCAGCTTTTATTCTAACACATTGTAAAGATTTTCCCCATTGTTTGAACCTCATTGGTCTGCCAACTCTGACAATGTGTCCTAACCACACAAAGGAGTAAAAAGGGGTGACATTGAAGAGAATCACTTTCAAGACACACAGGCATCAATAAAGAGGAATAAATTAGCTGCTCTGTGGAGATCTTTTGCTAATGGAAAGAGTCAAGCTGAGTGTTGCTTCTGCAGTACAAAAAGGATGGGAGTGCCTTTAGCAAGCTGGCAGTCAGTAGCAATCCCAAAACAGCCTCATTTTTCATTACCTTTGTATGTCCAGTGCACGAGGTGAGAGCAGCTCAGATGCACCAGGAGCAGGCGGAACAGGACAGCTGGGACCCACATGTCTCTCGCTGTATCTGCAGTTGGAACCAAAGTGGGGAGTGCCTTTCTTTAAAAAAGCGTAAATACCAATTTACTCTAGGTCTGGCCTTCCCAGCACCCATCCCGCCCTTCTCCTCACCCATCCAAAACAATAACAGCAAACAATGCCACAGATATTTTATTTGGACAGTCAGCTTTAGACGCTAAAGGCACTTTATCGATCCTCTGAACAAAGCTGTCCGTGTGAACGGAACAGGTTTCCCCCGATGGCCAAAGCTGATGGCCTCGGGGTCACTGTCTGACCCCAGCTGCTACACACTCTCTGCCCACTTTTCCTGTCCATTCATTCCTGATGAGCAGGTAGAAAAGCTTCATTACAAGTATGTGTAAACCGGTGCTTTGTAAGCAAAGATACCTAACACAGATCTCAAACACTGTCCTGAGGTGGCCAACTGTTCCTTGTTACACGGAGGAAGGAGCCAAGGCAGAAGGCATTTAAGGGACTGGTTTTCGAAAGCGCTGAGCATTCACAATCTTATTAGAAGTCAAAATTGTAGACACTTAGCTCCTTTGAAAATCAGACTTCTGAGGCCAGATTTAAAAGTGCTCCACACCCAGAGGCCTAGTGTTTCAAAGCATTTTGCTTTCAACATCTTCCCTACTCACTGAAAATCTAGTTTTTAATGTGAGAGATTTGCAACCTTTGGAAAATTCAGAGCTCTGAAAAACTGTTTAGATTGTTGAAAGATACAGGCGTGATACAAGATACTGAAACCCTGATGGCTTTTTAAAAAACATACAGGAATTCAAATAAAAACTAGCTGGTGTCAGATGTGTAAATGCTCTTGTGGACTTCAGCAGCTGCTCTGTACATCTGCAGACATTTGATTTCCTTAAAAATGTGTCCCAACAAAATAATTGCCCAAGGTCCAGTAAACAAGTCATTCGGCAGGGCAGGGAACAGACCATGGATCTTCTGCCTGCCTTTTTGTATCCTGCTACTAGGCAAATGTCATTCCCTTTGAAAAGCCTTCTCCTCCTCCCAAGAATGACACACTACCGACAGCCCTTTCTGCCCAGCGGTGCCTCCCAACCCATAAACCCACTGTTTAATAATAAAAGGGGAGCAGAAATCTCCCCAGGAATGGAATTTTCACCTGGTACTGAGAAGAGCTACAGCTTCCACCAAATGCAGCACAACTTTGCTGTTGATTTTAGGCGGCAGGCAGCGGTATTAAACATTTGGCAAGAAAGCTCACATCAGTGAAATCTCAGCACTTCTGTTTGCAATGTCCCTGCCACTTGCAATAATATTTGCAATTATTTTCTTCAGCAATAAGGTACATAATACAGCAACTCAACAATAAGAGCCATAGGTGAGTTACAGATTTCATGTGAACTCAGGTTTCTAGGATTAGACTGTGCTGAAGAACAGAATCAGGTTTTTTATTCAAAATCTTGTTCTTTGCAAGTGAATTGTTAACATTAAAAGGCCTTTCTTGGTTTGCTGTTTTGTGCAGTGCATATTTAATCTTTGGGAACCGCTGTAATATTGAGTTGATTAACCAAATGTGTATTTTTCCCCGTCTCCCCTAAAGAAGTCATTTATTCTGACAGTTGCACTGAACTGAGTAAGGACTAAACTAATCAAACATGCCCTGCAATGCACTGCATAATCCTTGTGTATCCAGTTGAGTAACTAGGCTTTGAAATTAGCTGAGGGAGAAATTCTGGGGGTTTATACCTGTTTACACTCCAGGATTCCACACAGCAGCACATGAGGGTGTGAACAAGAGTCAAGAACAGGAGGCCACCTCTGCACCAAAGCATCCCTCCTGCCACCCTGCCTGTGTGTGCGTGCCAAGAGCGTTTAAATGGATGTCATTTAGGGAGAAGCTGTTTCTCTTGCCTGTGCTTTATCGATCAGCTAGCCCAGTCTGCACAAAGGATTTGAAATAAAGCCCATTTGGGAATGTCCTGGTGCCAGGAAACTGGAGACGACAGTGAATTAATTTTTAACGGAGCTTTTGCAACATGCTAAAATTGTGACATTTCACTTGACATCAGCAGGAGCTGTGGGTGCTCAGCACATTCAAAAACCACATCTCTGTTAGCTCAAGTTAGCTTCCCCCAAATTAGTGGCTACTCTGCAAGACACAGCAATCTGGGGAGAGGATTTACTAAGGGGATTAAGTATGAATTTGTTTTGGAGTTATGACAGAAAAATAATTTTAATTAAACTCTTTAAATGTATTAGAATATTAAGCTTCTAAATACAAGCTGAATAATATGGAAGGAGTCCTTCTCCTGTATAAAGTATTGCACACGTCAACAGTCACTTATTGGTTCTTGGAGCTATAGCTTTTTTTAGTGTATATGGTATTAAACCTGGCTGGCTTGAGGCTTGTCTTTATTAGTCATCTGTTTTGCTAGCTCAATATAATTGCCTAGGAACTCCAGATATCACAGCAGGACCGTGCTTGAAGTAAACTGGTGTTTTACAGGTGAAGAAGACTGTAGGTCTAACAGGACCCATTTAGCCAGTGGGAAAATCTAATGTCAGATATCTCAGCCATGAATATTCTTGGCATGATTTCTTCACAAAAGCAGGCTACTTTCACACAGACACAGTTACACAGACACAGTTACACAGACTTCAGCCTCCCCCCTCCCGCCCCAACTGCATAGGAAATAAGCCTTTAATCCCACATCATTGGCTTCCATGCACTTCACTTTTATCTCTCCAGCTTTCCCTGACTCTTTGCCATCTTTTAAATCCTGCTTCTCCTGGGCTATTCCCTCTGTCCTCGCTGGCCTAAAGCTCAGCTCAAGTCTGACTTTCAGATCCATTCTGAGTATTGGTAGCCACATTAAAACCTTGACATTGCACTGAAGTAGCTGGCTCAATACCTCAGTGCTCCTTTGACCCAGAACTTGAAAGGGTTAACTCCTTTCCATCTGAATCAGTGGAAATTTCATCAGGGGTTGCGGTAATAGCTGCATCACTCCCGAGTCCAGCAAACATTTGACCAGGAACAGGCAGTCTGATGCGAGACGGACAGATTGCCTTCAATCAGGCTATCTAGGTTTTCCTAAGTGAGTCTAAAACCTCTTCAAATGGAGCTCTCCCTGCTGAAGTCAGGCTGGATGAATAAAAGTATTCAGAGCCTACACAAGTTTTACGAAAGACAAAAAGCAGCTAGCGCTGGTGGGCCCAAACCCATGAGTAAAGCTGGCAATAGCTGTGCAGATTGAAACATGAGATCCTTTTATTCCACAATTCCTGTAATGTTTTTACATCTTCCCTCCAAAACTGGCCCTCGCTTCTTTGAAATTTTGCCCATGCTTTTTTTTTTTTTTTCCTTTTTGCCCCCTGGCTTTCAACTACGTACAGAGATCACAGAAGTCAGAGGCAGAAAAGCGCTAGAATTCATTTCTCCAGTTCACACAATCCCTTTAGGCCTCCTTCCTCTTATATTATTTTGATGCACTTGGCTAAATTCACCTTCTACCAACATAAATTCAGATACATTTGTTGATTCTACTGAAGCTTTGTGACAGAAACAGGCTTTGAGGCAGAGATAGACACACACCAGAGGTTTACTCCAGTGTTCCTAAAAGCAGGATTTGCCCGTTGTAAAGCAGAGAGGTTCCCTCTGCGGATTCCATTTCACGGTCTAACAGATCTCAGCATTAGCTACCTGCAGTTCATTGTCAGCCTAAATTTTCTTTTGCTCAGTTTCAGCCAATTACTCTTAGTTACAGCTATAGCCCTTGGATCATCTTAAGATACTTTTCCCTCTTTAATGTTCACATCACTTCTGGGGTGGTTATCACCTCACCACGAGCATGAGCAGCCTTTCACTCGTCATTTCCCCATGGTGGTGAAAAGGACAATGTGATGCTATAAAAAGAAGAGAACATGGTCAAATAACCCCTCTTCATTTTCATTTCCAGGAAACGTAATTACAGTTCTTGTAATGTCTATACAGGTCTGCTCTACAGACTTTGCTGAAAGTGACTTCACATTCTGGCTCTCTACTTGAGACTTTGAAAAAAAAAGAAAGTGTGAAGGGAGGATTAGGAAGGGGGAGCTCAATCTTCCCTCTGCATTTAGCGTGAGGTACATAGGAATGTGGCCTGAGTGTGAGGATCGAAGGAGTGCTGTCGAGAGCCGGCCTGGGAGAAATTTTTCCATCATACCGGGGCTCTATGCTGTGCACTGGATGGTGGTGGGATAAAGAAGGAATAACTCAGTGACAAGACAGCTTGTCAGCATGTGCAAATACCTATCCACCTTCTCAGACACCGTGTCATTACCACTTTATACGTATCTGCACCTCCTTCCATAAAAATATTCATTTTGCTCCTGATGTCCCAGTGTAATAACACGCAGAGGAAGCACAGTTGCTGCTCAGTCTCTCTGAAAATCAATATTAGCAGTGCATAAACACAGCAAAAGACCCCAAGCCCCTTAACAAACAAACACTTCACAGAACAAATAAAGGCTCTGAAAATGTGGCTATTGCCCGCTGCTGGGTAAGCACTTTTCCTTTCTTATTTCAGCTGCATTGTGTGTTGAACAGCTGTGACATCCAGTGGCCAAACACAATACAGTTGGGTTTGGTACAGAACTCTTCATACATGGTAACAATAACAGAGCCCTTCCATTGCACTTTTCATCTTCAAAGAGCTGTACAAACTGTAATGCATTAACTCCTACAGAGCTCAGTGGGGCAGATGAATGTAGTGACCCTAAAAGTACACATGAGAAGGGGAAACGACGCTCCAAGCTCTCCACAAGCATGGCAATCAGCCCTCTAGGGTGGTGAAGAGCCTGCCCTAGGGCCAGAGTGCAAGACCTTCACCCACCACTGCAAAGATCAGCTGTTGAGAGATAAGGGATCAGAAAGGTGCAGCTCATTCAGCATCTGATGAAGAGGCCACACCTGAGGGGAGGGTTGTGCTCTTTTTCCCTAGAGCAAGAGAGCCCATGGTTAGCGACTGGGGAAAGCTACATG